GAATACTGTAGGGGGTCAGGCATATTGGCGTCTTCTAGATGTTTCTAGAAGCAAGATGAGGAAGGCGGCTTCTGTGTCTATTGGGATCCTTCTGACTGTGTTATGGCCAATTTCCAGAATCAGGAACAGCTTTGCGTATTGTAAGTTCCTAGAATTAGAGTATAATTTTAGATTTCTGTGAGATATTTGGTGACAGAGAGGTGTGATGGGTAATTGTAACAATATAGCAGATACGAGAAACCAGTGGTTAAGTCCCATTACAACTGACGCTGCTGCAGTAACAGCCTCCACCGAGGCTCCCAGGAGCTGTTTGTTTGAGGCAGTGTTTGCTACCAAGACATTCTGACAAAATAGGATAGCATGTGATAAAATTTTGCCTGTTCTTGGAACTCTTAATAATGCAATTTAACCTGTAGAAAAAGAGTGCTTTGGAAAGCCAGTCCAGAGTTGTGGACAGATAAAATTAAGAAGCCCAAAGTCATATAGTGGCTGCCCCCATCCCAGAGCCAGAAAGCTCTATTTTAATATAGAACTGGTGCTGCTCTCTAAATTCCACACCTGTGGTGGCCTTCTAAAAGAAGTGGGTAAAGCAACACAGGGAAAGCTCTCTTGCCTTCAAGAGACTGGCAGAATGTTCCAGAAATGCAGTAACAAGACAGGGAATGGTTGTGGCAGCTTGGTCACCACTAACCAAGATTTACAGAGCACCTCACACGTGCCAGACGCCATCTGTGTCGCTCATCCCAGGCACTGTGCCTCCTGAACGGGACTGTCAGCATCACCTCTGACTCATGGTGACTCATAGGGACAACCCAGGATCACCAAGCACTCAGTCCCAGAATACAGCCTGTCCCTTCACTCAGAAGGAGCATTGGATGCAAGTCAAGCCTTCCAAGGAGGACACGTGCTGAGAGGAGGGGCCATGGCAGGGTTCCTAAGCAGGTGCTACCCAGAGCTTAGGAGGGCAGCGAGCAGCCAGAGACAGAGCAAATACCACTGTGTCATAGTGACACCAATAGCATGCCATCATTCAGGCAGCCAGAGGCCACATGTTGATCTGGCAAGTTCAGATCTGCTCACAGGTGACCCTTGGAGGTACCCTGCAGAGACAGGTGGTGAATGGCAATCTCCCGTCACAGCAAGAGACCACAGGAGCCCTCCACCCCCCACCCCCTACCCCCGCCTCCATTATTCACGCAATGTCCTAGCAGAGTGTGTATATTTTTCTTCTACCCAAGTCAGGGTAAGGGATCAGCCTACCCCACTGCTCCTCCCTGAGTGCCAAGAAAATGACTCGCTGATTTTCATTTCCCCAGAGGGCCCCGGTGAACCAGTGGCAGTTACGGCCAGCACCGCTGTAACTGTGACGGTGGACAAGAAGACAGCCATTGCAGCAGGTAAGAGCTGCCCTTGGTGCCACTGAGGCCAGAAATTTGTGTGACAATGCAAGAAATATTTACACAGTGATGGCAGGAAGACCCTGTGTGTGATCTGCCGGGGCACCAGGCTCCAGCTGTAAGTTTTTCCAGGTGAAATGTGAGAAAGATGAAAATGGAATCTTCCTAAGTCATTTGTTTATAAAACCATAAAACGAGACCTCAAAGAATTCATGAAGCAAGTAAAATGAAGCCCAGAGAGGTGAAGAGATGTGCTGAAGGTCACACAGCACAGAGACTGCAACACTGACCTCCTTCTCACATTTCACAGGTTGCTTCCCTCTTCCAATGCCTTGGGTTCCAAGACTGGGCTTTTGAAATAGATCCCCAAAGCTCAATGTTATGCTCAATCCGTACCAGACACCATGGAAACCTCCTCCCAAGCACTTTCTCATTTAGTCCTCAGGATGACTTCATGACAGCAATGTTTTTGGCTCCATTTTACAGATGAGGAAACTGAGATACAGAAAGTTATTTGCCCAAAGTCCCACAGCTAAGAATTAATGAAGCTAGAATCTGAACTCAGACTGCCTGTCTTTAAAGATCAAGATCACTATGTGATGCTGAATTTGTCCCAACTTATAGAACGAGAGCACCCAATGACTTTGACAAGCTTCTCCTGACTCTGCTGTTTCCGGTGTTTAAAACAGTCTTTGGTGTCTCTGCCTCATCTAGAATTATCTGGCCTCTGTGATGAAACCCTCCTGACCATGGTTTCAGCTCCCATGTCCCTGACTCAGCTGTATTCTGAAAAGTTGTGTGATCCATTGGTCACTCGGTGCTTTTGGCATTGACGACCAAGGCTCCATCAGCCTGGATGCTGAGTGTCTGACCTGGCCAGGTGGGAGGCCCCCTGTGGTAGCGCTGGGGCTGGGGCTGGGGCTGGGCAGGTAGGGCTGGTGTATTTGGTCCTCAGGCTGAGTTCAGGGCAGAAAGCACAAGGGGCAGACTGGGATCCATCCTCCTGCCTCACATAGGGTGCAAGGCTGTCCTGAGTCAGGTCCTAGGCTGCTTGCCACTCTGGACTAGGAGGTAGGGAGAGAAAGGCTCACTCTGACATTGCTCCATGTTGTCACAAGGAAATTCATGCATCACTGGTAGTCTGTGACATGTCCCTGACTGTGGCTCTCAGAAGGGACTCAGGACAGTCCAGCACCTTTCTTTCTGTAGCCCCTGGTACACAAGTCCCAGACCCACTTCCAGACCAAATGTTAAACCTAAACTTTTCTCCCTAAAGACCATCCTGTGGCCCCAGCAGGGCTTGTGTCTGCACTCCCCCACACATGTGGCCTTCTCAGCTCCTCCACCCCTAATGACCTAGAAAGGAGAAAGGGCATGGGGCCTGGCTGCTGGCTGTGCTTTCCTGCATTCTCCAATTATTTGATATCATTTTTAACTCAGGGCTGAATTAGAGCCGTGAGGGGTTGCCATAGAAACCGTGTCCCAGTGCCTCTAGTTTAACTCGCTGCAGACAATCGCTCTGACGCTCTGGGTTGCACGGATGTGATGGGGAAAGGCTGAGGCACTGGTGAACTGACACTGCAGGTTTTTTTGTTTTGTTTTGTTATATATATTTTTAAATTTCATTTTGTAATTTCCTCTCCTGACCTGTGTGGCTCAGCCTCCCTGATCCCGGGGCCAGCTGGTTCCTGTTGCTCAAGGAGGGGTAGAGGGTTTATTCATTGTCCCTAGAAGCTGGTGGCCCTGAGTGCATGTGAACTCCAGGAGTGGGTGACCACAGTGTCTGCAATGGGGGCTGCGTTGTGGTATCTGTGCACTGAGCAGGGGGAGAAGACAGGAGAAAGGCGTTCATGAAGCCATGGGCCTATACAGGAGGGCAGGTGGATGAAGGGGGTCCTTGTATCCCTAAGCAAGTGATTTATCTGCAGCTCATACAAAATTTCTAAAAAGACAGCTTTCGGTAAGTCTCCATTTTCCACTCCCCCATCCTCGAAGCCCCAGTTGAGGAACATGGTCAAGCGTCATAACAGCAACAGTGGTGCCATGATATATAGAATGTGTTTTTCTTGCTGCTGGGTTTCCAATGTGTCCTGCAAGACATACTGTGCAGAGGCCTTTCCTGCTATCTGGAGATGCACAATGTCTCCTTCCTTAGGGGTCCTTTGGCCTCAGTATGGACTTAGCCTTCAGACCCCCGGAAACTCCAACATTTTAATAACATGCATCACAAAGACATGTGCAAGGCTCCTGGGAGCCTTGCCCTCTCCTCGGGACAGGGGAAGACCTGTCTCAGGTCCACTACAATGATTAGGGCTAGATGAGGGCAACATCCCACATTGACCACTTCCTAGGGAAGGTGGGCCACCCGGTTCTGCCATAGAGTAGAGCTGAACTTCGGGGAAGGGGATCCTGATGGTTCACTTCTGTCTGGGGTTTGCTCCTAGCTTGCTGGCTTGCCATCCAAGGAAAGTTCCCAGAAGGAGGAAATTCCCTCTTAGTCTTTGAAGACCGATGTGCCATATAGCCCAGACCCACTCAGCCAGAGGCCAGTGCAGCCAGGAAGTTGACTGGCCAAGTAACAATCCCAGAGGCCTTGTTCTTCCACTCTTGCCCTCTCCTCAGTCCCCTGCCTCTAACCTTCCAGGCCTAATTCTGACCCCCACCTGCTGTGTCCCCTGGAGGATCCATGCTTGTAAGTCTGGAGTGTGATGTGCCCCCAGCCAGGGTGGGCATGTGATCTGATAAGTGCTTAATTCACTCCTAGAAAGCCAAGACGGTGGTAACAGGTTAAGCAGGGCTTCTGCAAATCCTGTCAATCTCAGTGAGTTAACAAAACCCCATCATCCAGCCAGGCGCAGTTGCTCATGCCTGTAATGCCAGCAACTCGAGAGGCTGAGGTAGGAGGATCATGAGTTCAAAGCCAGCCTCAGCAACTTACTGAGTCCCTAAGCAACTCAGCGAGACCCTGTCTCTAAATAAAATATAAAAAAGGGATGGGGATGTGGCTCAGTGGTAAGCGCCCCTGGGTTCAATCCCTGATACCAAAAAAAATAAAAATAAATAAAACCCAGTCAGCAGAGAAGTCCCTGAAAGGAGCCCTCCCCACCTCCTGGTACACAGCGGGATCCTCTGGGCAAAAACAAGCCTCTTGCCACACAGGCCCATCTGACCTTGACTGCCAGGACGAATTCCATCAAGCCAGGGTGGATGAGCACCCACAGGGCACAGAGCCACTGCAGGGTCTCCAGCTTACCTTCTTCACTCCACAAGCTGTGGTGCTGCCCGGTGAAGCTACCCCGAGGCTCTTGCGGCCAGATCTTCAGGCCAGAGCGGGGTCGGACTTAAAATCCCAGCTCAGCCTTGCCGGGAGCTAGCCGCCCTCAGCCGCCTCCTAACCCAAGATGCTGCCTCCGCTTGACTCCCAGTGAAGCCGTGAGGCCCCGGGCCCTGGGCCCTGGGCGGGAGGTACCCATCTGTCACCTAGAGCCCTGTGCATCAGGGTGATGTCCTTCAACATTGTGTTCCACTGCCTGGGGAGGTGAGGGGGCAGGGTGCAAGTCTCCCAGCACCCATCTCCCCTTCCCACCCAATGAAACCAGGAAGTACATAGGAAAATACAGTCTTTATTGGTCTTCTGAAACAACAAACCAGAAATATAATTTTGCCTTTAAAAATCTTCTGTCTCAGGCTAAAGATACCACCACTGACAATGCCCTCCCCTCCCCCATTCCCTTAGAAAATCCCCAGCTCTGGTGTCAGTCTGCAAGTCAAGAGAGGAAGGAAGACTGTGCCCCCAGCCAGGGTGGGCATGTGATCTGATAAGCAGCCCATGCCCGTGCTGAGGTGTTCTCTGTCCACCTGCTGGAGAACGACCTTCTCGAAGGCTCTCCACACCCCCCACCCACTCTTAGAGTAAGGAGGAACGGGAGGCAAGCTGGGCCTGCCCTGATACCCTCCATGGACCCTTCCTTCAGGGCTGTCCTCCCCCAGTGCCAACACCAGGACCCCCATCGTAGAGCCGGGAGCCAGCGTGGCATTTCTTGGTCCTCTTTGAGCAAGAGGAAGCCAGAGTCCAGTAGAGGGAGACCTAGGTACTCACCACACACCAGCCTCCCAAGGACAGGGAAGCCTCAAACAGGGGACAAAGACCCTGAAAACCTGCACAGCCCCAGAAATAGGTGTGTCTGTCCCAGACAGGACCCCGGGCACACTCTCTAGTTCAGACCCTAGTCTAGGGGCAATCCGAAGCTCTGAGGAGCCAGACTGAATAGACAAACCCCTGAGACAGGAAGCCCGCTTTGAGGGATCCGAACAGAATAGGGCTATTCTGTCCCTTGTCCTGGAGTCTTACAGGGAGGTGTTGGCAGTCGCCAAGCCTCAGAGAGGACCAGTATGCCGTCTGTGTGCCGTCTACCTGCCACCTGCTTTCCCTAAGGGGGGGCCACCAATCCTAGAACACAGCCCAGTCCCAGCCCCATGGTCACAGGTGGAAGATGCTGGAGATGGAGCAGGTGGGAGGTGCGGAGTAGCAGTGCTGAGGCTGCAGGCATGGAACTGGTGGGTGTCCCCACCGGCCTGGCAGTGAGGCTGCACTCACAGTTCGTGAGGGAACACCCAGTGTGTGGCTGGGCTCTCAGGAGGCTGCCGTCCATACATGCAGCAGCTTCCAGGCCTCTCGGCCTTGTCCCTGGAAAACCCAGCAGGAGAGGTGTGAGCAGGTTACCATGGTGACGGCAGGCTCCTTCAGCAGCACCACTTTGGCCCACTTTAGGGGATCTCAAAGGAATCCTGTGTCATTGGTTTGGGTTCCTCCCCCCACTCCCGTTGATTTGAGAAGACTGCGGCCAGCAGCAGTTCTGTGGTCCCAGGGTTAGAGACCCGAGGGGGAAGCCTATCTCTGCCACCTGAGCTGGTATGGCCTCTGTCTTCATGTGACTGTGTGTGTGTGTGTGTGTGTGTGTGTGTGATTTCAATACACGAGACTGTGCTGGTGATGCTGTGAATGTGTGTGAGGGAATTTCAGTGAATCCTGGAGCAGGGTGGTCAGAGTGATCTGTAGCAGATACAGGGACAGATTGGCATCTGCTGGGGCAGGATGCTGTAATCACAGCGTTATGTGTTTAAGTGATGTGTCCAGATCACAGGGTTGGTGTCTCGGCACGTTAGTACTAGCCACTGAAGGCAGGACTCAGCTTTCACACTGTAGAGGGGCTAAGAATACCTTTCTGGATTAGAAAAGAGTCACAGAAATCTACCCCTAGCTCCCAAATCACTCCCTCCCTGCCCGCTAAGTGCAGATGATGTGGGAGTGAGCAAGAGATAGGAGAGTCACCCAGCTGCGACCACCCCCAGGGCAGGAGGGGCGACGGGCGTGCTCAGTCCAGAAGGCTCCTCTTGCACACATGTTCTTTCTTCCCGTGGCCAGAAGCTTAAGGAGCACCCCCAAGTATTCCAAAGATTCGGTGGCCTTAAGAGGAGCACGCACAGGAGACTTCAGCACAATGTCAGCTTCCAGGAGACCTGGAAGATCATGGAGATGGCCACCCCATGGCTGCGCTGCTGGAGGGCTGGAGAGGAGAATATCACTGGGGAAGCAGTGGCCATTGTCAGGCCAAGGCAGGGACTGTGATGGGAGGAAGAGCCAGCCCTTTCCAGAGCCATCTCCGGTGAGCTCTCCGTGCCCTTCCTACCTGGGCTAGGTGGGGGGCTCTCAGGCCACAGAAGAGATCTGCTTCTGGTCTTCGTGCTCGCCCTCAGGGTCCCCCATCAGGGGCTGGCGCTTCTTGAGCTCCCGGTGGTACTTGGCCATGAGGGAGGCGTAGATGCAGCCATAGGCAGCAGCCACCACCATCATGATGCAGACGATGCCGCAGACGACTCCCGCTATGATCACTGTGCCGATGGCTCGCCTCACACTCACTGGCCGGTACCTCTGCTTCTGGGGGCAGGCTGTACTGGGTTCTGGCTCAGGCTCAGCCCCAGGCTTGGGCTTAGCGGGTTCTGGGCTGGCCTTAGTGCAGGGTGGCCCAGGAACATCCAGCCCAGCTGAGCTGTTCTCGTCCTCCAGCTGGGAGCAGTAGTTGAACATCTCCATGGGGACCATACGCATGTCCTTCCCCCTCAGTTCCTTGGGTAGGGTGCAGGCCAGCTGGTCCAGGCGCCCCCCTGCATCCAGTGGAGAAGAAAGGAAGGTCTGAGTAGATATTAGGAACCTGGGCTCCCTCTCTCCATCCCCAGGACCCCAATATGGAAGGCCCAGATTATAGTTCAGGCAAAGCAGTCAATCCTGGAATCACTGTCTATAGAAGAGGAAGGCGAGGAGAGAAATCAGCATTGACCAAGCCAGGCAGCACGGTGGATGAGTTAGAGATATCATGCCATCTCATCCCCGCAGAAGCCACAGGAAATGGATATTATCATTATTCCCATTTTATAGAGAAGCTCACAGCCAGTTCCCTCAAGCCTGCCCTCTCCTGGGTCAACCTGACCCATAGGAGAAAGTGCCCACTGGGGAAGATGCTCAGGAAAGAAGTGTCAGTGAAAGAGAGTCAGTGTCCCAGCCAGACCCCAGCTCTGCTTTCTCTAGCCCTGAATCTGCCTGCTCATGCCTATCTGGGAACCCACAACACAGTATCTTATCCCTCCAGGGGGTTCCTCCCTCTCACAAAAGGGACAAGAATCAAAAGCCTTAGCCCCTGATTCTCTATGCAGGAGACTACCTCCTGAGAGCAGGGAGAAAAATGGGGAGCAAGAAAGTTTTCCCTGTTCCTTGTTAGGAACAGTCCAGTGTTCCCCCACGGTGACTCTGGTGCAAGAGCATCTTGGGAGGGAATCCCAGGGATGGGAGACTGGTGCTGATGAGGCTGTGTGGGTGGTGATGGGCAGTGAAGGCAGAGAGGACCACAGGGAATGTAAACGCAGAGCCGGGGTGAGATGCGAGGGACAGTAGCTAAGGAGATGAAGCTGCCTGGATGTCCCCTGGGAAGTGAAACTTGGATTTTGGCCTCTTTTCAGCTTCCAGTGAAATCTAGATGCAGGCAATAGACACCCTGCTGACTGCTGAATGGGCTTGGGCTCCAGCCACTCCCTCACTGCCAGCTCCCTCTCCTAGCCCAACCACCACAAGTCTCCTTATTCCGTAGACATCAGTCTTACCCCAGGACCCTGATGAAAACTTCCCAGGATTTTTACTTTATTTATTTTTATTTTTTGAAGGAGTGCAAGGTTGAAAACAATTCAATTATTGAAAAATTCTGAAAAATGTGCATTCCTATTCCAGGCCCTTTTGTGCAGAGAATTCCCTTCCTGATTTCTTTGTGAAAGGGCAAGGACATTTCCTAAGGATGGCACCTTGGTCTGGATGTGCAGATACCTAGCTCCTTCGTGCCACCAATCCCCTGGGTCACTCAAGTCCAGTGAATGTGCATAGAGTGCTACCTCTGCACATGAACTGATGACTAAGAGTAGAGCCACCTCTTTCTCCTGCTCAGGAGACCTGAGGTTGGAACTTGGCTGCATCTTGTGAAAATTGCTTAACTTAATTACATCTGAGTTTTCATTTTCTTAGCTATAAAATAAGAACCCATCTCAAGCTGCTAGAGAGATTAAGATAGATAAGGGACATGAAAAAAACATTTGTAAACTGGAAACTATACAACAGTATTAATCATTATTTCTCCACTAATGAAAACAGGAGAAATTATCATAGTGACTAACATTTCACTGCACTCCATAGTTTGTAAAATGTTTTTAATTAACCAACATGTCAGAACTGCTTAGGAATAATTGAGTTAGTGGCTGGATAGGAAATACAAATAGTAAGGCTGGTGAAAAGCATTAGCATTCTTTTCACACAATTCAATGTTGATTCATTCAGCAAACATTCATTGAGCATCTACTTTGAGCTGGGTACCAAATTGCATCTTACCAGTACTAGTAGCAAATGAGCAAATAAATGAGAGTATGCTGGGCACTTTTAAAGACATTTTGTATGCATTGCTTTTTTAAATTTTTCACAATGATTCCATAAAATAGGTACTGCTTTTCTCCTCATGTTACAGATGATACACTGCCACAGAGATATTAATCAACTTTCTCAAGGTCACACAGGTCGTGGTGACAGGGTCAAAATTCAAACCCAGGCCTGGCACTTTAACCATTGTGCTTACTTATTTGCCCCCCCCCCCTTTCCCTTTTATTTTATTATTTCATTTGATCATTTCGTAGGTCATTGCAAAATTTTCCCAGATTAAAGAAAGACGGAAGGGCTGGGCACGCTGGCGCATGCCTGTGATCCTAGTGGCTCCAGAGGTTGAGACAGGAGATTTGTGGGTTCAAAGCCAGCCTCGCAATGGCGAGGTGCTCAACAACTCAATGAGACCCTGTCTCTAAATAAAATAAAAATAGGGCTGGGGATGTGGCTCAGTGGTCAAGTGCCCCTGAGTTCAATCCCCAGTACTCCACCCCCTCCAAAGAGAAGAAAGAAAGAAAGGTGGAAGGGAAAAAAAGTAAAACCATGCGGCTTTTTCCCGCATGCTAGGGATGGAACCCAGAGCCTCACACATGCTCGGCAGGTGCTCTATACTGAGCTACACCCGAGCTCCCACTTGGCTTCTTATTAACAGTTTTGATAACAAAATTTCATGGGAGAGGAAGCTTGCATCATCATCCAGAGGACAATTTGGCTGTGTCTGTAGGCTTGTTACATTTCACCTTTCTGTAAAAGGTGGATACTGCAGAGGCAGTGGTGTTATTGGAAAGAAGGGCAGGTTTTTGTGTTCCTTTTAGCACATCCAGGAAACCCAGACGCGTACCTGGTGGGATATAGAGCCCCCCAGAAAGTGTCCTGTGTCTTAAAGTTTCCTTACTAACCCTACAAAAGTGAGATCAATTATGGTGAGAAAAAAAAATGAAGGTCAGAAGCACAGAGGGACATAGAGAAGAAAGGGGTGCAGTGGGGGAGGGGGATCAGCAGCCCGTACTTACCAGTAGGGAGAGGAATGGCTTTGCACATGGGAGGTGATGCTTGTGACTAGCCTATCTGGCAGAGAGGTAGGGTCACTCTGTTCTTTCCCCAGACCTCGTCCCAGCCACCAGGAAAGACTCTCTGCCAGGGGTGATTTCCTTGAGCCTCTCCTGCCCAAGCAGGGAGGGCTGCACTCACCTCGGTAAGAGAACCATTCCATCCAGTGTTTGAATTCTCGAAGGTTACAGTCACACTCCCAGGGGTTGTCCCCAACCTGCAGCAGTTGCAGGTTCGCCAGGGGCTCAAACGTCAGTCGGTCCAAGTTCTGCAGGCGGTTGGAGCGGAGGGAGAGGGAGCGCAGAGCCGGGAGTCCATCAAAAAGCCCCGGGGGCAGCTGGGCCAGGCCGTTGATGGACAGGTCCAGGTGGCGCAGCAGTGGGGAATGCTGCAGCAGATCCCTGTCCAGGGTCCTGATGCTGTTATTGCGCAGCTGCAGCTCGGTCAGATTCGTCAGGTCTTCAAAAATGGAGCGGGGCAGCTGGTCCAGGAAGTTGTTGGACAGGTCCAACCGCTGCAGGCTGGACAGGTTGGCAAAAGCCCAGCTTGGCAGGGCGCTCAGCTTATTGTTCAAGAGCAGGAGGGTTCGGGTGGCAGCGGGCACATCCGGAGGCACAGCAGTGAGACCCAGGCCGCTGCAATCCACCTCCAAGCTACGGCTGTCACACTTACAGGAGAAAGGGCAGGTGGGGAGGGCCTCCACAGCATATAGGGCGATCCAGCAGGTGATCCCTTTGGGGAGGAGAACAGACAGGTGGGAAAAAGCAACAGGCTAGGAGTTGATTCCAGCTCCTGTTCCCTCCTTCCTGGTTCATATCATAATGGCCTCTTGGCTGTATCTCCCTTGGCACAAACCAAAACCAAAGCGCAAACATTTATTAACCACACAAAAAGCTAATTAACAAATCCAGAGACACTTGTATGCTAATGGACATCACACCGTGCCAGCAGGTCTTTGCCTCACCGCACATCAGACAAAAGCCACTTCAGTGGAGTGTGATGCTGCCGACTCACAGGCCTGAGCCCAGAGGACAAGCCATGCTGGTCCACAGTGATTGACTTCCTTGGGAGCAGAGATATGAGGATATCAGAGAAGCCTGCTCCTTTGTTCCCCTCTTTCCAAAAGACAAGAGTCATGCTGGGTCATTTTCCTCTGCACTTCACCCCAACCTGGAAATGCATGAGGGAGGCTAAGATATTCTGTGCATGGAAAGGCAGGTAATAAGAGGGCACTCCTAACTCTGCCCCCTACAACTTCCCAAATGCTCTCCCATTTATCAGAATCACACACCAAGATGGGGCCAGTAGGAGGATTAGAACCCAGGCCCACCTAGGTCCCTGTTCTGGAGAGCATTGTGGGAATGGCAAGGATAAGATGTGCAACCCCCCTGCAACATTGACAAGTCATGGGACCCAGGACAGGTTCCACGACTTATTTTTATACTAGAGCCACCCATGCTCTTAGCCTGGGTTTCTGTTCCAAGCAGCCTCAGGGCAGCATTTCTGCATGATGGATCAATTGACAGAATTCCTTTCATGATCCCATCTTTTGCCCAAGATGCCTTTGAGTAGCAAGTATGGGGTCTGGTTTGTGGAAGAGCAGGGAGAAACAATCCTCAGAGAACAATCCAACAGAACATCCCATTCCATTGTGGAGCCGGTCCTTTCTAACAGTGACCTTGAAACCTCCCCAGCTGTCCTCCTGAATATCAGAGAAATATGCTCACAGTGAAGGGAAAAAAGGATGAGCTCAAAATAGTTCAGCTGCATGAGGTCAGCTCCACCGAGCCCAGAGGAAAGACCCCAGCTAGAGAACTGGCAAGGTGCAGGCCTAGTGTGTAGCCTGGTCAGTGCCACCCAGACAGCTAACAGCCACACAAGCTGGGTGCCTGGGTGGGACAGTCTTGAGTCTCTGTCTGGTAGGTCACCCAGTGTCCCAAAGGGCAGAGCTTGAAGGAACAGGATGTGCCTGTCCCCCACTGAGGATCAGTGACAGCCCAGAGACGTTCTGTAAGACTGACACCTGAGCCTCTTTGTTCTTGATGAGAAATGGGCCCTGGCTTGGTCACAGAAGCCAACTGAAGACCTCTGTCAGCTACATGAGGTCACTGCCCACCTGTCACCTCTCTGAACCCATCTGCGGCCAGGTCAGCCTGCGGCACCCCACCCCCTCCATGTCATTTGAACATCAGCGCTCTTCAGACTTTAGTTTCCCCAGAGGAAAAATATTCAACCCCTCAAGCTCCCCTCTCAGACGGATGAACATAAGGATCCCCCTCCCGGAGAAGGGACCAGGAGGACGAGGTGGGAATGTTTCGAAAAGAGCGGCTCCTTTCCTTCCCCACCCCCACCCCAGAAACTCATAGAAGCTCTAATGTCAAGAAAACATAATCCTGTATTGCGAGGTGCTGAGTGACCCTAGAGCGAGGCTGAAAAGGGATCTGAGTTGCTCAGGGATCAGCCACTCTCGCCTGGTGAATAATTCAGGTTGCTCATGTCGTGGGGCAGCTGGATCACAGGCTGACTGAGGCAGGGAGAAGCCAGGCAGAATAATGTCACTCAGGGACATTTCTTACCTCTTACCATGTAGCCTGGGGCAAACCAGGCCTTGTTGACCTTGTCCCTTTCCCTCAGATGAAGAGAAATGCTCAGGTTTTCTTTTCCCCTGACAACCTGTGAGCATTGCTGTCATTAACATTTACACCTCAATGTGCCTATGTGCAGGATAATGGATCCAGTCCCCAAGGTCCCCTCCAACACCATACCCCAAGAGCCCAGGAGTTGCTCTATTTAGAGTTGGAAGGACTGAGTGAGGCATAAAGAGCCTAAGAGGTGTCCCCAGCTCCATCCAGCTGGTGACTATGGAGAGCAGTTCCCCATTAAACATCACGACCCAGCCTGAGTTGGGACTTCGGGGTGGGCTAGGGCAGACTCCCACTCCAGGCACAGTCTGGACACACTCAGGCACCATCCATGCTATTTAAAATTCAGAAAGCCTGACCATTCTCCAACAGAGCTCTTTTCTTATTTACTCTCAGAGAACCCAAAGCATTGGGAAGGATTCAACAGACCTAACTAGGGAGACAAGACCAACTGTTATGGCCTCCAGCTCCTAGTCCAGCCACAAAAGCTCTCAGAGTGGCTCTTTTCTTGACTTCCCCAGATGCCATTATCACAGGCCTGAGCCTGGTTTCCCAGTGCAGAGCCTTGGACATCATGGGAAAGTATGTCTACAACCTCCCTGCAGCCTGAGAAGTCTCCCTCCATGCTGTGCTGAGCCCCCACCCGGCCCCAATTGTTCCCTCACCCTGTGGCCAGGGGCATACTCACAGGAGACCTGCCTCCACTGCAGGGCAAGCCTGGTCCTCTGCTCAGAGCCATTACCCGGTGCCAGCATGGTGAACCCCACGGCTCTCCAGGCCCTGCAGCTCTGGGGAGAGAGGAGCCCTCGGGGTGCTCTGCCTGTCAGTCCTGAGAGAAAGAAAGAGAGCTGGGCGGGGCAGGTGTTTGAGGCCCCGTTCCAACCCAGAGGTTAGGAAGAGGGCCCAGGTGTCTCTTTACATTCCTCATTCCCTCTCCTGTTCCCTTAGCTATGATTCCCTGGGTGCGGGGAAGAAGAGGAACAGGGGGAGCAGAAAGAGAGAAGGCAGGAAATGTTCGACTCCCTGGGGGGATGGGCAGGGCAGCCTTAGGCTTGCCTAAGAGCCCTCAGACCTGGCTCCAGGTTGCAGGATGCAGAAATTGCCACCTGAACTCCCTCCCCAATGTCCCCACCCAGCTTCTCCTTGCCTCTTCTTGATGCCTCTCTGGAATGGTGACCTCTAAGATGTTTTCATTACAATATGGTCTCCTCTGTCTGGGCTTTCCCACATCACAGGTAGGGAAACTGAGGCCCATCTCTCCTAGGTGAGCAGAGTGAGGTTTCAGGGTACAGTGCCCACCTACGCTGCTTGCTTCCCTCCCCCCAGTCCGGGTCTCACCAGTGCCCCCACCCCACCCCACCTCTACTTACCATGGCTCAGGGAGATAGAGGCCAGATCCTTTGCAGTGTCTGCTGGCAGGTCAGGTGAGAGCCGTTGGGTGGCCCTGTTTCCGCTTCCACAGTCGCCTTAGGGGGAATTGCAATGCTCCCTCTTCTGCCAGCCAGTCTATAATAAGACTCATCAGCTCAGGGGTTCATGCTGCAACAGCTGCTGGCGCAGGAGAGACAGGGCCACGGAGGAGAGGGTGAGATCACCAAGGGCTGGGAAGAGGCCAGGTGTGCAGAGAGCAGCTTGCTCTTCTAGGGGGAAAAGGAGGCACTCAGTCACCCTTTCTAGGGTCTGCCCCAACCCTGTGTCTCCTAAATGGAACACAGGCCTCCTCTGCATTCCCACTTCCTTCTGGATGTGGCCAAGAGCTGTTACAAGGGAGGCCAGAGCCTCCACCCTGCTAGCCCCATCAGAAGGAACATCTCCCAACTAGTGGTAGGGACCAGGATGGGGCTTGGCTGTGAAGACTGTGCCAACACCCCAGTCCCCTCTGGGTGCCCAAAGGGCACAGTTGTGTCAGGCTCCCAAAGTTTGACCTTCCTTGTTTGCCAAATTCAGCGTCTTTGGTAATTCCTGTTTGCAGCCTCCCCCTCCCGCCTCCCGTAGGCTGGGTTAATTCTGGGAGCCTGAGAACCAATGGCAGAGGAGATGATAGCTGAGGAGGTGGAAGGAGCCGTCAGGATGCTGGCTTGCCGTGCTCAACTTGGAAGCATGCTGAGGGTTCCCCTCAGGCATTAGGATCTCACTGAGGCTCCTATTGCCTTTCCCTGCCCCCCACCCTGTCCCCTAACTCTCTTTCCCCCTCTGGTGGTCCTCAGGAGGCCTCCGGAATAGCCTGTGGCTTGTGTGGCCTGGCGGCGTGGCAGCTTCTCAGGAATTAGCAGCCCTCGTGTCAGTCTGGGCTTTGTCTTTGCCCCCACTTCCTCCATATAGTGAGGACCAGTTTGTGAAGGGCTGGGCAGAGGCTGGCAGAGTGGCTCACCTATAGCTTGCTGTGGGCTGTGGGGACAGCTCGTCCTCACACTGCTCTTTGGGTGGGTCCTGTGCACTCAACAGGCAGAGCAGCCAGGTTGTCATTCTCCAGCTGCTCTCTCTCAGGGCAGGTGCCTGTAGGCTCCTGGCTCAGTTGCACAAGTGCCGAGGCTCTGTGAATCCCGTCTGGCTACTCCCTCAAACAAACTGCTTACACTCTACACATCTCTGTTTCCTTAACTCTAAAAGCCACGACCATGACACTTAGTGGGTAGAATTTAAGAGTTAACACACACTAAGTACACAACACCTTGGACTGGAGCCATGATGGGTGTGAGGAAACATGACTTCCTCTTTGGGAGGGGTCAGCAGCAGGTCCACAGGACACCTCTCTTCCCTGGTCCCAGTAACCTCACACTCTGAGTTATTTCTTATTCCTAAGCATGGGGCGCCTGAGCTTGTCCTGGGGCTGTGCGCTGTCACGTGATGCTGAATGTGTGGCAGGCTCACACCACAGACCTGCCTTCACAGGTGGCAGCACCCATCCCCACTGTGTCCCTCAAGCCCTGCCCTTCAGAACACCTCAAGGTTGCTACTCAACCTTGCAGAACCTTGCAGCATCTGTGAAATAGTAGGCAGGTCAGTGGCCACTTGAGGTACAGACATGATGACCAACTTGCCCAAGGTCACATAGTATGTCAGGAACTGGATTGCAGGCTTCTGAGTCAGGCTGCTCAACCACTCCCTGGTGACTGTCACCCAGCAATGGCCCTCACGGGGAGATGCTTATGTGTGCACAGAGTGGGCCGCGCACCCACAGGCCTCTCAGACACGTGTTTGAGGCTCCGTCCACAGCACGTGGTGCAAACACACACAGAGAGTGAGGTTGGGCATGTGTTAACACGCATGCCTGCACAGGTGCACGCACATACACATATGCAGGCCTGGCTGGCACTGTTCCAGCACATCTCCTCATGCCAACACTTGGGCAGCAGAGCAAGATGCCTCCCTGAGTGCCCTCAGCAGGCAGATGTACAGGGACACTGCCAGCCTGGAAGCAAGATCTGGAGAGACCCCCTCCCCCGCCCAGGACAGTTCCTAACCCAGGACATTCTCCATGCACAGCCCCTTATGGGGGGCTGGAGACCCAGTCCAGCTTCTGTCCCCCTTCTTCTGATTTCCTGAGGGAAACAGGCTGTGGAGAAAAGTCTCCCGATACACTCAGTCCTGATTCTGCCTGAGGCTCCTGCCCTCCCCCAGCAGGCTCCTCTTCCCCACCTGACTCCACTTAGGGTCACCCCAACCAATGAGCCCTGGGGTTGACCTGCAAAGAGGCATTCAGTGGAGAAGGGCCCTTAAGTACAGGGTCTGATGCCCCATCCCCAGCCTTGAACAGTTGCCCATGCACAAACCAGGGTAAGCAAGTCTCACAACACAGACCCTTGTCACTGCCTGGCAAGGTGGCAGGACACTCTGTGTGCTTTGGAGAAATGTGATCTAAACAAGCTCCCTGATCTATGAGGACACACACTGTGCTCTCCAGGTAGTCGATCCTGCTTTTGGGGTCCCTGAGCTTTTTTTCTGGGCTTCAGAGCCTTCCTAACCCACAGGGAAATATGGGGGGAACTAGCATTTCCTAGACCCTTAATCCTCTGCCCACCCACACACCTCCAAGCAAAGAACCCCTTTCTGCCCCCAGAAGATCAGAGTCTCCTCGGGAAAGGGGTGACCTACATTGCAAGGCTGGAGAACAGCTGTAGCAGGAGGTGCTGGCCGACTGCTGGAATAAATTAACATCCTTTGAGGGGAGTCCCAACCTGGGGTGGGGAATGGAGGACAGAAAAGCACTAGGGTCCTGCCAGAAAGACCCCTTCTTTCAGTTTCACTAGACCTGTTCTGACTGCTCGCCTGGGTTTTGTCTCAGGGACAGACCAGAAGGAAGGGGCTGGGACCCAGGAGGGTCCCTGGGACTCCCTCACTAGGCTCCTGATTTGAGAATATGGGGCTGAAAACCCCAAAATCCCCCAAGAAACATGGGGCTTTGGCTCTAACCTCTTGCTACTCAATGTGTGCTCCATGGATCTACAGCATTAGTCTAGCCTGGAAGTCTAGAAATACAGAATCTCAGATCCCACCCAGGCAGATGGAATGAGAATCTGCATTTTAACAAGATCCCAGGCAATTTGTATGCATATTTAAGTTTGAGGAGTATTAGGCTGGTACCTCCCAGACAGGGACAAACAGCCACCTGGGAAATAATGCTGATCTGTCACTGGGGCCAGATACCAGCCAGGAATAGCATGGGCCTTAGTGAGCTTGGAGGACCCACCAGGCCTGGGCCAGGGCCAGGGCTCTTACTTTTGTATCTCTTCCAAGAAGCCTTTGCCCAGAGAGAGACAGTGGCCACAGTCAAACACCTACCTAGAGTTCTTAATGCTCTTACAACTCTGGTTATTATCATTAACACCATTTTGTAGATAGGGAAAAGTGAGGCACAGGAAATTAAGTGGACTTGAGCCCATGATAGGTGTGAGGAAACATTTACCTAAGCTTAGGTAAATGGGAGAATACCGCTCCGTGCCTGAGCCATCTGGTGACAAAGTTACTGACTCAGTTGCCCTTATAAGCTCCTACGTTCATCCTGTTCTTCAACCTCTCACATGTGGAGGCTTCTGGTGGAGAAAGGTAGAGACAGGAACAGGGAAATGTGTGCAGAACTTTACCGTTTACCTGGCATTTCCTTATCCTCTGTCTCAGTGGAGCTGAATGGGTCCCCATCCTCTCCATGGAGAAACAAGCTCTGTGACTTGCTGGACTGAGAAGCAAGCCGCATCTCCTCTGCCAACCTCCCCTCTTTCAGTAGTGACACAGGTGTGGTGACAAGTCCTGGGAGCCCAAGATCTTTCTGGCCAGGGTTGGGTGCTGAGGTGGGGGGTGGGGGGTGGGCTGGAAGCTCGGGGGACGCCAGCGCTGGGGGAGGTAGTGAGGCAGCAGGAGAAGCAGAAGGCTCCACGTGCTCCAGCCGATTGAGTGGGCTGCTGCATCCCGGAGACTTGGAGGGCGGGAGCTGCTTCCCCCTGGAGCACCTGCCTCAGCCACCACCACTGCCCCTCCCCCAGCTTGGAGCAGTCTGCCAGCACTCATTCACTGCAGAGGGACAGGGTTAGGGTGGCAGGGGTGCACCAGCCCCTTTCATTTCTCCTACACATGAAAAGTAACCCTCCAGGTGGGGTTGGCTCAGACAGCTAGAAACCAACCAACTCACCCCAGGCCTTGTGTCCTTGCCCTTTCTCTGAGCATCTCTGTCATCATCCCTCGGGTCTCTTGGGAAGTGGGAAGTGTGTGGGCCTTGCTGTGTCCTCCCTCCCCTGATATCGCCACTAGATCAGGGGTCAAATGTCAAAGACTTGGGACAAGACCTATGCACCCCCTCAGAATAAGGGACCCACTGAACTCAGGAGCAAAAAGGGTCTTCAGAGTCTCCTCCACCACACCCTTTGTTCTGCAGAGGCAGAGGTTCCAGAGCTCGTGAGAGGCAGAGGGCCATGAGCCTGTAAGGGCAGTCCTGCCCATCCCCCAGAGGGCTGCAAGGGAGCCTGAGCAGCAGGCTTGAGCCCTGTGCAGAGATGGCATGTGTTTCTCTATGGTTGGGACAGTAGGGAAGCTGCAAGTGTCATTTAGGCTGCTGCCACCTGTCCGGCCATCAGGCCCTTCTAGGAAACATTCCAGATCTCTTCCATGCCCATCACCCCCTAACACACACTGCCCAGGCAGCAAGGAAGCTGGTTCTAAAACAATCTCTATATTTGTAGTTGGAACAGATACAAACCTTCCTAGTTCATTTCAGAACACCTGCCCCCTTCTCACTCCCAGCTTCCTGCACCAGCATTTCCTTGTCAAAATTCTCTATCCCAAAAGGGCACCCTGGGGAGTGGAACGGGAAGCCCCCTGAGTCACCCCTCTCCTCTCTGATGAATGAGCTGGAGTCTATTGAAGCCCTAGAGCCAGCTCCTGCCATTGGCTGCCTGCGGCCCCAAGCAGGGGGCAGGGGAAATATGACCTGGGGTTAGAAGGAGGGAGACCCATAGAGGGGACACACTGCCTCTGACCAGACCCCTCCTCTCCCCACCCACAGAGCTCCCCAACACCCCCAGTCATTGCATAAACACCTCTCCTCCACCCCTTCCTCCACAGCACCGCCCCCCATGTGGCCTCTTGGCCCTGGTGCCTGGGAAATGGGAACAGGGTTGGCTTGCCCTGGGCCCCAGACCCTGCTTCCAGCCAAACCCCAAAGAAACCAGATCGGTTGCTTAAGAAACCTCCCTCCTTCTCTTGCCGCCCCCAGGCCTGGCTTTCCTGGGCTCCCTCTTTTGGCGGTGCCAGAGACTTTCTGCCAGTGGAGAGGTGGGGGTGGGAAGAGCTGGGCTCTTCTTGGCGGCACCTAAGCTGCTGTTGGGTTTCCCTACCAGCTGGACTTCCCCCGCCCCTCACCACGTGTTCCGCTCCCTCCCCTCCCCCACCTGCTGTAGTTATCTAAGCTGCAGCCCTGTCAATCTGAGTCACACGAGGCAATGCCCAACAAGCCCTGACAGCCTGGTGCCAACATCACCACTGCCACCCCTAGAAATGCAGACAGCTGGGGGTGAGGGGCAGAGCAGCCAATTGGAACCCAACCCCAGATCTGCCGTGCGGGGATTTGAACTGCGGATTTCTGGTCAGAAGCCAGCAGTATTGAAATGGGCCTCAGGGGTACTGAGAACCGCTGTCCTGCTCCAAGTCTGAGTGTCCATGCCTCTGAGAACCAGGCAGCCAGGTAGACACAGCCTGACTGCACACAGTCCTCCTAAGGCACCTGATCTTTCTGCAACAAAAGGCAGGCGTGCAGCCATGGGACTCCAGGTGGGTTCTCACAGCCCAGCTCCCTGTCTGACGCTCAGGTGAGATAGAGGCAGTACCCAAGCTTGCAAGGAAGGGCTGTAAGATCACTCCCCCTTGTCCACTTCCAGCCACACCCCCACCAGCGAGGCCTCACCCATGCCTACGTGGACTAGTGTCCAGTTGGGGAAGTCCCCCTTTGCACCCTTGTCCAAGGACAGCCACCTGAAGGCCAGAAACCCAAGGCTCAAGGCAACCTGTAAAGGGGCACTGGTCCTGCGGTCTATTCCCATGCCTCACTCAGAGTGGCCCTCCACCCTGCTACCCTCCACTTCCTCTACCAGCCTGCCACCAGCACCTAACTGCCGTCCCACCCCTCTTCCCATAGCACTCAAGTTCCTTGGGGCTGCCGGTAAGGAACCGGGCATGCAGACAGCACAAGGCTCTTGGCTGCTGCTCCTCGTGCTGCAGGGACCGGTTTCTATGCCACCCAGGGTTGTCATCTGGCACTAGCACTGCCCTCCTCCCCCTTTCCCTTCCCCCCTGCCCCCTTTTCTGGAAGAATGCACAGCTCAAGTCCCCAACACTGTGGGGTCAGAGTTCCCAGTGTTCTGTACCTTTGGGATGCCTAGGTGTCTGGTTCTGAGCAGCTTCCCCAGCCCCAGCAAGTGCCCCAGGCAGGAGGCACCCGCTGCTAATTGTGCAGAGCCAAGAGACCCAGCAAAGGTGGTCCCCAGTTCGCATGCCCAACCAACATGCACCCCCCATGACCCCCATTCCTTCCCACCACTCACCTTTCCTCACTGGGACCCTAAGCCCCTTAGATCAGGTAGCTCTAAATCCAGACACGAGCGCCAAGCAGAGCCTGGTGGGCTCCGGATGCAGAGTCCCGGAGTCCGGGAGCCAGAAGCTGGCACGCAGCACCCAGCACCGGCGGCGGAGTGCCGGTCGCACTGCGTTGAGAGGGGATGGGGCTGTTGGGTCAATAACAAACTGAGAAGGAAAGACGGAGGGACGGAGGAAGACAGATAAGAGAGGGGGAAGTGAGGGGAGAGGGAGGAGAGCGCGCGCGTGTGCGCAGAGCAGAGAGCCGGAGCAATGGAGTGACAGCTGGGGGTACATCTGTGATGACAGCGGCAGAGGCACACACAGGCGCGCGCGCCCAGGCGCTCACGGCCGCGAGGGCAGCGCTCACCCTTGCAATGCTCACATTTCAGTGGAAAAAAAAGCGCCTGTGGATTAATCGTTTCCAACTCCCGGGAGGAGGAAAGCTGTTTTATCATGTACCTCCATTTTCCTTCCCAGGGCTCCTCCTGGCTGTCCCTCGTCCCTGGATGCTCCTTTCTTCTGTCTGTCCCTCCTCTTTCCCCTTTGATTTGGCGAAAGAGGGGCAAGACCCAGACGACAGAACCAGTGGATTGACTTTGGTCCCTGAGGCCTCCTACGAAGCTGGTTCTGTCTCCTGTTTCAAAGTCAAACAGGGCAGTGTCTCCCATCTGCCTGTGGGAGAAGGAAAAACCCACCCCTTCGCTCAAAGACTGATTCATTCTGCGAGGACCACTGAGGGTACCCCGGGATTCTGAGGCACCAGAGGGCCTTCCACAGTGGGCTGCTGAGCCCCACAAAGCCAGAGGTCATATGACCACACAGAGGTCAGAGAGTTTCAAAGCTCTGCCCACCCAGGCCAGGACTACACCAGAGCAGGCAGGCTGGGGACCTTGGGGACTGGCTGGACAGAGCATTCAGGGAACCAGAGGCAAGTTTAGTCCCTGGCCTTTTACCTTGCTCCTCAAGGGTCCTTGCTCTTTATTTCTTTAATATTTTTTATTGTTTCTTTCTGGCTATACCTAACAATCAGATTCATTTTGACAGAATTTAAAAAGCATGGAATATAATTTGACCAAATTCAGTCCCCAGTATTTCCCCTTTCCTCTCCCTCCTCCTTACCCTGTTCCTTTCCCACTGATCTTTCTGCTATTTACTTTTAGATTTATTTATTTCTTTTTGGTTGGTGTCTTGTGGATATACATGATGGTGAGATTCACTGTGGTGTATTCATGTATGTGCATAGGAAAGTTAGTGAGATTCATTCCTCTGTTCTTTCCTTATCCAATCTCAGTCCCCTTCATCTAGTCCACTGGTCTTCCTTCTTTTTTGATGAAACCCCCACCCCTGCCCTTTACCCTTTCTCTCCCCCCGCCCCAACCTCTCTCTCTCTCTCTTTCTCCTCCTTATTTTGGGCTAGCTTCATGCTAAGTGGACTAAGCCAGACTCAAAAAGCCAACGGTGGAATGTTTTCTCCAATATGTGGAAGCTAGTTCTTGCTCTTATCCAAAAAGGGGGAGGCCTGCAAAGGGAATAGATGGTAATTCAAGAGCTCAGAGGCCTCTCTCCTAACCAATCAGGACAAAGCAAGTCAGAGAAACTGATATTCCAAGAAGAGGAAGGCGGCTGATCTAAAGGCAAAGTAAGGCAGGGACTAAACCAGAAGAGGAGCCAAGACCTACTTCCCAGCTGGAGCATGGACCCCCCATGTGACACCTTGCCAGTTCTCTGAGAGCCTTCTGGCCAGCAGATGGCTCAGCATGGGGCATATGAGTATCCCCATACTCTTCTTTTGTTTCACCATTAGGACTGGGGCTATGGGTCAAAGACCCTCCTTAACTCAGGATGCCGCACACAATGCTCCTACACCTTTTTTTCTGTCCCCTCTGCCAGGTAACTCCAGGAAGCAGAGGCAGGGCTACTATCCCTGGAGGAGTGGAGAACCTCCTTCACTTCCTGGGAAGTCCCTGCCTCTCACCCTGCACAGGTGTCCCAGGCATCCTGCCTTTCAAGCAAGGCAGGCTCCCATCTCCCCCAAACAGCCCCCAACTCCCCACCTCAGGAAAGCACTGAGCTACAGTGCTCTTCCTGCCCAGGGGCAGCTCCTTTCTTAAAACCTCAACCAGAATGTCACCTCTGCTACCAAGTGTCCCTGCTGATTTCACAGGTCTCAACCTTCTTCTCTCATCTATGGCATTTTCTCCGGGCCACCCTTCTCTTTTGTTCTTTTTCTTTGGGGTTCTTTTTAGTTATACATGCAGTAGAATTCACTCTGATATAATTATCCAAGCATGGAATACATCTTATTCTAATTAGGACCCCATTTTTGTGGATATATGTGATGGTGGGAGTCACTATGGTGTATTCATATAAGTCACAAGAAAATACCTTCACATTCATCCCCCTGCCTTCCATTTCCCTCTCTCCCCTCCCTTCCCTTCATTTCCCTTTGTCCAACCTACTGAACATCTCTCTTCCCCTCTCCCCCCCTTACTGTGGTCCGCTTCCACGTTATCGAGAGGAAGTTGTGAGGTGGCTTTCTGTGGGTGGTTTCTTCTCCTTCCTGTATTGTGTCCTGTTCCAGAAGAGGGACCCTGCCTCCCCCAGTCCATGTCCATGCCAGCACCTCCTTATCAACTGCTCTTAATGTCCAGTAGCTGTTGACTAGGTGATTGGCTCCGCAGCCCTGGGTCTTCTCATTCCTGTCCTATGGAATGAGCAGGTGGACTGAGGTCTTCGGTCTGCCCCTGCCCCTGCACTCTGTGACACAGGTATTCACTGTGCACCTGCTGGCTCAGGGTTATAGAAGGCGAGCCCCTCCCACCCCACCACCCAGGTCTAGTTGACCCCACAGGCTGGGTTAAGAGGATGAAGCTCAGAGCAGATGCAAGAGCCAGGAGGGAAGAGGGCAAGTCTCTGACTTTTGGAGACCATGGCCCTCCACAAGGGTCATTCTGCACGCGTGAACCATGTATGCACCAGTGTGTGGTCATGTCTGCATACACGTGTGTGGTCATGTGTGGGTCATGCCCATGTGTGGGTAGGGCTGTTTTGTTCTCCTGTCCTCATGATGAAGAAGCACTGAGTGCCAGCCAGGACGTGGAGCAAAGACGCACAGCTTGACAGGTCGTCTGCCGCCGATGGCCTTATTGAGGTGATTTGCTAGGTTGCAAGCAGGGCTGAGGTTCAAGAGCAGCACCGTGGAGAGACAGCAAGAGAGGGAAGGCAGGAGGCTGGGCGGGGAGGGGATCCAGGCAGACTGGGGCAGGAGGCTGGGATCTGTCCTCTATCAGGCTATGGCCAATTCCCTGAGAACCAAGGTCAAGGTCAAGGTCTAAAACAGGAGCCACCAGGCACAGGCTCAGAGAAGGTCTCTTCCTACCACCCTGGGGGAAGCCACCTGGAAAGGTCTAGAACTCCCTGTTTTCCCTCACCAAGAGTTCTGCACTCCTCTGCAAACACAGGAACAGCCCAACTCCTGCAGGCTAGCGGGAGGCTCCTAGGGTGGTCTTCTTCCCGGGTGAGGCTTCAGCAAGGACAGAGGACTGAGCTCTCTCTGGGCCTGGGAAGGAAAAGCACCATGTGGTGTGAAGCAGGGTTGGAACAGAAGGATTTGAAATGACTAGAGGCTGAGGCAGGAGGATGGAAGGTTTGAGGTCAGCTCCTGCAATTTAAGGCCCTAAGCAATTTAGCAAGAACCTACCTCAAGACAAAAAGTTAAAAGAGGTGTAGATGGTTAAGTGCCCTTGGATTCAATCTCTAGTACAAAAAAAAAGAAGAAGAATTTGAAATCATTAAAGGGAAGGCGTGCACGCCCGTAGGCATGGCAGAGCTGATCCATTGCCAAAGAGATTTCCATGTTCCCTAATCATTATCTTCCCTATCTTCTCTCCTCTATACCAAGTCCTGTTTTCAGCATCTTATAGTTCTTACCAGGAGGAAGTTGTTCTTCATGTCTCACTTAAATCTCCCATTTCATAGTGGATTGCCTCCAAGAAGAAATTCTGAGCACAGCTAAATCTTCAAGATGACAAGTCCATTATCAGCAACAGGGCAGGGCTCAGCAGGGAGGAAGGAGGTCCTGAACCTCAGAGATAAGGGACAGTGAGTCTAGTAGAATTTTGCTTCCAGTCAAGCAGGTGACTCAATTTGATTTATGTATTTAGCCCAAGAAATATATATGGATCCCCACTATGTGACAGGTGTTATACTAGGTGCTCAGAAGGAACTCGATCCTTTTTGCCTGCTGTGTGCTCCATTCCAATGGGAGGTGAGACAGACAAAAACAGATAAATTATGCCATTGAGAAATAAAAAGAATGACAAGACAGAGGATGAATGGTGAAGGGAAGTACTGCTCTATCTGAGGTCAGGGAGGGCTATGCCGGGAGATGACGTTTGAGCTCAGATCTGATGATAAGAAGCCAGCCATGTAGAGTTCAAGGGGAATGGCATTCCAAGGAAAAGGAAGAGCTGATGCAAATGCCCTGGCGTGGGAATAATGTCAACATGTTTGAGGAAGAAAGTGATTCAGGCTGAAATCAGAGACACCCCCCACCCCCTGGCAAGGCTGGCGCATGTAGGATCTTGTAGACCACATTACACAGTAGTTTAGATTTGTTTTAGGGACAACGGAAGCCATTTAAGCAAAGGAGTGGTGCAATTTGATCTTCAGAAAGATCACTCTCATGGCTAGGTGGAGAGTGGATCATGGAGAGGCCAGAGTGGGAAGCAGGGAGACTTCTTAAAAGCCTATTGCATTAATCCAAGCAGGAGAGAGATTGGCTTGGCCAACAGTGGTAACAGTGGAGGTAGGGAGAGGTGGACACAGGGTTCTGGAACCACAGTCAGCTGAACTTGGGTAAACTGAGGGAAAACGATTAGGTTGAGAATGTGTTTTGAAATGGCAAAGTCCCAAGGAGGACCAGGGCTTGGAAGGAAAGCCCGGAGTTTGTTTCTGAGCATGTCAAGGTTGAAATGCCCATGGGTGACCCGGGGGGAGACAACATGTCAGGAGGCAGTTGGAATGTCCTGAATTTTGTGAAGGTTTCCCAGGTGCCAAGGACACAGAGCTTGCTTTGGAGCTGATGGTCCGGCTCAGGAGATGGAACCTGGTGGGGAGAACCTGCTCTGTGCTCCATTCCCCACATTTCTGCCCATGAACCCTCAAAACCTGACCTTCATTTGGGAAGAATTGGCCCCCACCTTCTCCAGGCTCCTTGTGTTAAAGTCATACAACTTCTTTCAGCTCAGAAACCTCGTGATTCCGCAAGACTTGGCCCTGAGCCACCTGGGGATAAAGGCAGAGTCTCATTCCAGGAATAATCCGCGACCTCTTTGACCACGGAGTCAAGGATGGGGTCAAATATGCTTCCTTGTTTTAAGCATTGGTACAATTCCCCTCTGACAACGTGTGGAAGGG